AAATGTCAAAATTTACGAAAATATGTTTAGATGATGAAATATATTTTAAGTTTCAAAACTTATCTCTTGAAAATTTCATGTTAATATTATTGGTCCCATTCAGAACAAGGAATATTTGTTTAAGAACAAGAGTTCGCAGAAATGTGGTATAAAAAAAAAAAAACAAAGAAGTGAAAAATGGTTCTCCATTTACGATAGAAAAAACTTTCTTCTATCGTACAATGTTATGTTTGTAAATTCATCACCGCCATTTTGGATAACAAACTAGTGGTAACGGATTATAATGCTACCGACAAAACAAAAAAAAAACTTTGTTCTCTTATTAACAAAAGATGAAATAAACAGAAAAATTACTTAGTCAAAAGATTCAAATCATAATATAATCAAATTGGTTTTTTCACATGTGAGCTCTTGGTTCTTAATGTGTTTGATTACCGATATGCTCCGCATGAATACTCTCTTCAGTGTTGTGAATTTGTCTTTGATATATATGGAAAACCTAGGAGAATTCCATCGAATAACTGTTAACCATTTCCATTGAACCACTGCCTCTATTATCCAATCATTTTCGCTTTTACTTCAATTTGAATACAGCTGCGACTATGGTTAAAACTTAAAAACGTATAACACCCATGGCATATAGTGGAGGTAATGTGATGGTGGTTGAAGTGTATGATCGAAGTCTCTTTTTTAATAGTGAAACGTTAAATATTGGGTGAATTTGTGTATCCTATGACAGTTTCTGTTGGTAGGCAATTTGTCTAATGCGGTCATCAACTTTGGTTCGTAATAGCAATTGGATGATTTTAATTAGAATAAAAGAGTGAGTTTTCTATTTTGTAGAGTTAGAAAAAATAATAGAAAGCCGAAGAAACTAATATTGAGAAAATGGACATTTATAAAAATTCAAAAACCTTAACATATTAATTAGAAAATTTTATTCGTTTGATAAGATCTTTGTTAAATATATAACCTTTATGGATCATAGGTCTGATAACAACATGGTCAATTTTAATTTTTGGGAGGATAAAAAGGAATTTGTCCTCCCAAATACTTTATGCACTTTAGTGAAAGTAAGTGAACATGATCGGATGAAAAGCATGGTTTCGAAATTTTTTTTTACAAAATTTCAAATTCGTGGTATAGTAATTGAAAATATATTGGATAACTAGAATAATATATTTGTGAATAATATATAGAATTTAAAGATTAATTAAAGAGAGGTAACAAAATATATGTTGGTTTGTAACTTTGCATGTAAACCAAAAGGGTAGTGGCCTAGTGGTAACACAAAGGGATTGATTCTCTTGTGCTCCGGGTTTAAATCTCTTTTGGGATGGAGAGTTATCTTTAAATCGGAATTTCCAAACTAGAATAATATATTTGTGAATAATATATAGAATTTAAAGATTAATTAAAGAGAGGTAACAAAATATATGTTGGTTTGTAACTTTGCATGTAAACCAAAANGGTNGTGGCCTAGTGGTAACACAAAGGGATTGATTCTCTTGTGCNCCGGGTTTAAATCTCTTTTGGGATGGAGAGTTATCTTTAAATCGGAATTTCCAAACATTATCTCCGGGTACCAAGGAGATTATGAGCCAAAGGTTCAGAACTCCTACGGTTTAAAAAAAAAAATTGCATGTATGTGATCGGTATTTGAGGATAAAATTAAATATATCAGTGCTTCATAAATTAGAAGTTTCCTCTTTGAACGTACTATGAGAGAAGGAGACCCAATTTTGAGAAATTAAGGTGCTGAAAATGTATATTTTTATCAAGAATATTAATTTAACTGGTTTGGAATCTATATAGTCTCACAACATGCTCTGTCCATTGATTGATACTATTATTAAATATATTCATTTGGTATATGTCCAGAATAAATTAGCTCAGTATGCTTCAAATATTAATCACCTTTTGGAATGATTAAAATTTTTGGAAACCATCTTTTTGAAATAAAGTTTCAAATCCCATGTTGGAAGCATGTGCTAAGTTCCTACAACTTTGTCAATAAAAGTTGGAAAGTGGTCTCGCTTGGTTGGCAGCTTAAATAATCAAAAACTAGATTCTCACCCGTACTATCTGCGGGAACATTCGTTATATATATGATGTAAATTAAACTTGGCTTTCTTATTATACTGGAATATTAATATCAACATAACAATTTTGAATTAGGGGTTTAGCCA